CTCCGAATACTGTTTTTTAATAGTTAAAACATTTTTAAAGAGAAAAATAAAAATAAATAATAGAGCATAACGAACATTCATTATGTGAATTGGACTGCTGACATTAATAAAAAAGATCAGAATGACCAGTTAGATGCAGCACATTTCATAAAAATATCCATGTCATGTAACTCACAGCCAGCTTGAGGCCACTTCTCCATTTCCAGGCTCAAAACACGAGATGTAAATACATTTTGGATTCAGCAAATTGCAGTTAAGGGGAAGCGGGATAGTAGCTGCCATTACTGAAAGCATCTCATTTGTTAAATTTAACTGTTGGACAGATGGGGAGCCAGAGGACAAATGAACCACTCACTGGCTGCCTTGTCAAATTTGAACAATGTGTCCTCTGGATACAAGGCTCTGGGGTTGTTGGCGAGGATTTCTCAAACCCAACCAGCTTTATTTGGGAGCTCTGGACAGATGATTACACTAAGAGCCACTGTTTCCGACAGCACGGATATGAATAGCACTATTAGAAGGCAGAGAGAGACACTAAGCAGAGACATGGCACACGCCTGTCTGTGTGCTGCTGATGAAATTATACAATACACATTTTCATTCATGGACTCATGTCCTCCATGATGATGTACGTAAGACCGCAGCAACAGATTCGTGTTGGGCAGGAAGCAGAGAGCAGAACGCATCAATAACCACATCATAATCAACATTTACTGCTGCTGTTAATTTCCTTCATTGCTTTATCTTTTTTTCCACCCAAACTAATTTCATCTGTTTCCTGCAGAAACATTATCGTTATCAGAAAATGAATGAATTAGTAAAAAAAAAAAACAGTTTACAGTTAAGTACTAGCAGTTTTCGTGTGTGGACTTTTGAGTTAATAATAGCTCAGATACAGAAAACTTTACAATTACAGATTATACAGCAAGATGGTATTAAATATGTTTTGTATGTTAGTTTAGAGTTGTGTCATTATAACATATGGAAAGCCACTTTTCTATCATGGTGGATTGCTGTATTAAAACTGGCACAGCAATTCTGACATTCAATTATGTAACTATAAATTTACTTAAGGGCTGCAAGGTAGATGTACTCAACTGGACCAAATACCTGTGGGTAGACCTGAAACCTAGCTCCTGGAGCCCCATTGGACGTCACATGGCTCGAAATCTAAATGTATCGTTTTAGTACATGTTTTCAGAAAGGTGGAGCAACCAAAAGAGAGAGAGAGAGAGAGAGCGTGTTTTTCTCATTTTTGTGGCGTCAGTAGAGACATATTTATATTTAAAAACCACATAAATACAGTCAGACCCAAAGAGTGCTTTGCTTTGGGGATTTTTTTGCCTGTAACTTTCATCTTTCATAATCCCAACTGGAACAATTCAAACACAGGCTTTTCTGGAAAATAGGAGTGGGGAGGAACTGCATTGTGGCCCTCTAATAACACAATTAAAATTGCTAGAGGTTGTTTAGTGTGGTTGTTCAAGAGCAACTACCGGCTTAATTCCTGCTAAATCGTTCAGAATTCATACATTTAGTATAAGGATGCCACATATTTTCAATATCTTATTAATTTATTCCGAGGTTACCGTGGTGACCAGCCAGCCAGGGCAGGGAATCATCGGCCAGTGTGAGACGGGGCTGAAAGACGCTGACCTGGTGTCACTCAAGCGACTTCTGGTCGTGCAGATCTACAGTGGAGGAGACTGGGGACAAGACGCTCCCTCACCTGACGTCACATACACTCAGAGTGAAGGTAGGAGACATAGATCCTTACCTAACCCTTATGTGTTTAAAGACACTAAAAGTAAAGGTGCAGTGCAAATTTTTGTAATAAACGAAGGCTCAATTGGTGAGTGGTTTGTAAATAGACAGAGCTGTGAGGACTACATGGAAATGAAGAGAGAAAAAAAGGGAAAAAACAAGACAAGAGAGATGAGAAAACAGATTTAATAAACAAGTTCTAGAGAGAAGGGTGTGGTAAACACAAGCAGCATAGTTTTTCCTTGCAAAAATATTTATGCACCATCTAAAATGTTTTCATTCCAGGGTGATTGATAGCTACTGTATCAGTGGAGAAACTGCTGCAGCGTAGTGTTTGAGATGTGGGAAACGGTGATGCTAACGATGTTGTGAGTCTGAACTCACCTGACACAATTATGTCAGTTATGTAATTCAGCCTGTTTATCCCCCCCCCCCACTCTGTTATTTTTATATCATATCTCAGGTGAGATGTTCTGCTGATTCTGCCAGTCTAAAGAAAGAGCATTGAGCATGCTCTGTATTGCATGTGTTTACTTTGTGAATGGTAAGCATGTGTGTATATTTTGTCTGACTATAAAAAGGTAGATCTACAGGAATCACTCTGTCCCTGCAATAGCAACTAAAGCATGTAAGTCCTTAATATTAATTATATAAATCAATCAATATTAGTAGAGTTTCTGTCTCTCTTTTGTATCCTCAAAAAAATCTACTAAGGAATGTTTGGAATGGAGCTGTGGAGACATGGTTCTGTAGAAACTGCAGTTGGAGGACAGAGAGGTTGACACCCTTTTAGCTGCTGTGATGCAAGTGGGACTAGATGACTGCATTCCTCCACAGTGTTCTTCCCTCAAGTGTTTACTGCAAGAGTATTTGAAACATGATCATTTGACAGTGGTGTCACCACTTGTGGTTCGACTACACCAGTGATGTCCCACATAAAACTGTTATATTGAAAGTTCTTTCCACAGTGGAGGAAACATAATTGTTGCTACCATAACATCTCCTTACACAGTATTATGGGTTTTACTAGTGTTAGGTGGCTTAAAGCCCAGATCCTCTCGAGAAATGATGGATGTTTGTTAATCACAAAGACAAAATGTGACAGGTGAGAAAACAATCTAAATATTCCTTCTTAATTATGGGGCCACAGACTCCTGAATGTACTTTCTGTGATATTTCACTCTGTGGCATTATTAACAGTGAAGCCTTAAAACATTTTGGATGAGGGCCTGTGAAGAATTGGCCGTCATAGAAAAGGGAATGGGGTCAGAGCTGCATCCAAGAGCTACACTGACCTCAGATCTGGCTGAAAAGTAAAGCAGGCTTAAATCAAAGATAAGAAGTTTAACTCTCTAGCCAGTATGAGTTCTACTCTACTCAGTAGCTGTGCAAAAGTAGTTTATGCACCGCTACCTACATGTAAACTCTGAAGTGAAAGTTTAGCAGAGTGTTTCCTGTGTTGAAAAGAAGAGTTTGAACATCTGCTAGTGAAGTGAAAACCACAAGGGAGGGTGCAGAGACTTTCAGAAATAATTCTATTTAGAAATTTCTATCTAGATTTTCCTTTGTAATTTATCAAAGTTATGATCATTGACGTGACAATGTAGAAGACCTAGAATGACCCACTGTGCAATTTGTTCCTCTAATTTGTAAAGCAATTTTGGATTGTAACTGATATTCAAACATAGTTCACAAACTTCAGGAAGCAGTGTAGATTCTGGGATTCTGGACGCGTTGTGGAATCTTAATCGTGTCCGTGTGTGTATAAGATGCTGGGTGGGAATGTTCAGTGGGAGGGAGAGAACGCAGAAAATATGTCTCATTAAACACCAGACTATTTATTTAAGCTGTGTGTGTGTGTCTCAGTCAGTCCACTGAGTACAGTATATTATAGGGAGTGGGTGGGGTATCCATTTTTTATAGAAATTGTACTAAAAGTCATAACTAATCTTTTATCATTGTAAATTTTATAGTGGCAGCTATTTTGGTTGGTCCTCAATTCTGCAAAGTGATTGTTTGATTGTGTTTGACTTTAGGGTGAAAATGAGGACAAAGGCTTGAGGTTCAGCAGTTGTGTTGGTTAAAGTTAAAGGTGAGGAATTACGTGTCAATGAGGGTCCTCACAACAAGTATAGAAGTAAAAATGTATTTGTACAGTTGAGTACCCAGGAGCAAATCCAAAAATGGGTCACAGAGCAAGAGCGACGGTGAGGACAAGAGTGAGACAGGGATGATTTTTGCACCACTGGTTTTGGTTTTTCCCCTCACTGCTTAACAGACAAGTCAATCCAAATGCAGCAGGCCCTCAGGGATAGCATCCAACTAAAACTATTTATTTCTACTGTTTGATAGAAATTAAATAGTTTTGTTTCCTTAGCACACATTGAAACATGCTTTTCTCAAGAGTAGCATCTATTTTCAAAAAAACATCTTATTCAAATTCTTGCTGTTATGCTCAAGATTTCAATATTTATGACTAGTAGTTGCTGCTTGCGTGGTTTTTTCTGCCACATGGTAGACACATAGCAGGCCGTGTCATAAGAGTCAGACAGAAAATTACTGTTGCAGATGAAACACAAGATGGAAGTGGTTCCTTTCTTTGCATTGGACCTTTTCCTAGAGACGATCCTTATTAATAGAAAGAGCAGAAGAGCTTTACTTTTATTATCTTCTTCTAGATCTTAACAAATGGAGGGAAGCAAAAGGTACTGATAACAGTAGACAGATGCCCTCTGGGCCTTTGCCAGACTGAGGACATGGAGAGTGGGTGACATCACCTGTGGTTGACGTAGCGCTGCCATTAACACAAATAGCCTTTTGGTTGCCAGACTGAATGTGTCACTGAAATATATTCTGATGCATGCTGCAACTTTGCTCAAGGAGAGTAAATGTTTTATTTGCCTCCTTAATCTCACTGATTGGAAGTGACAGGGAGGTGAAGGTTGAAGTAAGTCGGGGCCTGTAACTTCACCCATAATTCATATGAATTAGTCTTTGTTAGAGTTGGAAAGATTTGAGGTATAAAAATCTTAGCTCTACCACTGAGCTACATCCCCTTCTATAATAACAGACTAAGACCTTACCTCCAGATTTTCACAGCACACCTAACTCATACAGATGAATACACTTTCAGAGGTTTGATGGTACAAAGAATCACCTTGATTACAAAAGAGAATATTTTTAATTTGACTCCCTCTTTCCTCTCCAAATGCGTGAGCTTATTCTCACGTTTCTGTTTCTTCAATAGTTTAGCTCTGAGGAAAAGATAATTCTCACGGACTCACTTAGTGTTAGCTTTGCTACAGTCAGTCAGAGAGTATGCAAGACTGGAGATGCTGGGGATTGATCCCAGGACCTCATACATGCGAAGCATGCGCTCTTCCACTGAGCTACATCCCCATTGATAATATTGAAATATGAGCCCAATTCCAGATATTCACAGCACACTTCACTCATACAGATGATTTAACTTTCAGAGGTTTGACTGTCCAAAGAATAATCACAAAAATTATATTTTACATTTGACTCCCCCTTTTCTCTCCAAATGCATGAGCTTATACTCACACATTTCAGGTTAGCTCTAAACAGTCAGATGGATGTCTCATCTCTAATGCTTTAATGGAAAATGCAAAATTGAAAAATGCAATATAAACTCAAAACGTAAACTTGCATATCTTTCTCTTTGACTGGCAAAAAAACTACAATGTTTGATCTATCACTGTCACCATTATTTCATGTTAGTACTATCTGGG